AAGAAAGTTTCTCTGATTATGTGTTAGTTTGATTTTATTCAGTGATAATGGTGCCATGTGGTCAATACTTCGCTGTGTCGGATGTAGGCACAAGTCGGCCGTGCCTACTGCCTACTGAGTACCTATATGTATAATTCCGTATAATCGTATCAATGAACGGATGATATAAGAATATTTTATTTTGCTTAAGGGCAGATTTTTCAATGGTTAGATAAAAGTTACCTGGGTAATAATAATGATACTGTCGCGTTAGAATGTTTGTATAAGACAGTGACCGCAACAATTCTATTCCTCAGAATACCTAGTAAATACTTGCATATTAGTACTCTTTTTATTTTTGTAATTCTTTGTGATGAGTCGTCCCAAGTAGTGCTTGCAAAATGCGAAAGGTGTGACCGCTCTATTGTTCTTTTCTGTAATTGGCTTGTGGTCAAAAAAGAATTTCTATTTGTTACAATAAAGTTAGATAAAAAATGTTATAATTTTCATTTTAGAAACAACAATGCGGGTTCAATTCATCAATCCGGTCGGCCGACTGGGTCGGCTCGACCGGAGTGATACCACGGCCTCATAGAAAACCGGCGTGAAACAACCACAGCGTTGTTTCGCCGTGTGAGTGAGGTTACCGGAGGCCCAATACTTCCCCTCCCCCAATCCGTATATCTCCATTTCCCTAATCCTATATGTACTTAATTTAGTCACTAAAAAGTTATTGAGTTTTTCTAATATTTTAAACCTAATTTGCAATATTGACTAGCAAGTAAGAGGTATGGACTACGAGCGTGTGTGTGTGTGTGAGCTGTGGAAGATGTTATCCTAATCGGTTCCGGGGATAAACTTTCTAAATTAATTGTCATTTATTAAATAAACCAAACAAATTTTATGCTCTATGCCACAAGTACTGATTTATGGGTAAAACAAATCTTCCTCAAACCATCTTCCATTGAAGGATTAAACAATGCAAGATTTTAATAATTAGGTGTTCTATATGAGTATACACAATACAACAACATGCCTATCCAGCTCAATACAGGACATCGCAACAGTGTGTTCTTCTGACAATACATATTTTTCCTTTCTTTGGACTCAATGGCAGGACATTTTAAGCTAACATTAAGGACCTTCCGCGTAACATGTACGTTCTACTAAAGTTAATAATTATACTATTATTATTAAAATTTGAATATATTAGTTGGTCCTCTTTCATCCGTAAATTTTCCGTAATACAAATAACGTAAGTATAAATCACATTTAGTTTCACAAGGAACATAACTATTTTAAATTATTGAGAGGAGCAACCCTAAATATTAACAAAGAATAAGAATATATTGTGCCGCCCCTAACTCTGATTGACATTACAAACATATTAAGAATAGTTTTTTTGCCAGTAAACCTACACTAATATTATTTATAGTTGTACGTTTAGTTATTATCTAGTTTAAATCTATCACTGTGTTGAAAGGTTGTAAAGACAGCACAGATTCGTTGTTAAAACTAATTCCTGTTAAAGTTTTTATAACAGTGTTCATATTACCTATATGCTATTTGTAAAACAGGCGATTCCGGAATCATTGTTCAAACGATTCTTGGTAAGTTGGGCATTAAGGCTACTATTACGCATCAGACCCAATTGAACGAATCATCATAATCATCTAACGATTTAGTAAATGGTTAAGATAATGAGCTTCCATTAATGTGTCTGGGTAATGGGGTCAACGACCTTAAGCGAGATAGATATGTAACACAATATATAAGTACGATTTTCGTTCAGGATGTTTAAACATTCGAATGTATCATTGAAAACATGTTTGACTTTGGTACAATGCTTACATACCGCTAGAGAACATTGACAATAAGGTCGGTATTGGTCAACCTCGGTCGGTATTGGTACGCCAAGAGGCCTTTTACTGGTACTGTTGGTTTAAATTGCTGATGGTGATGGTAATCAACAAAACGAATAGTTACGTAGGAAATACGCAACGAAAATATTGTCAAATGTATAAATTTCACCAATTTTATAGCTGAGCTATTTTCTACTTTCCTAGTGTAGTGCACAAGTAATCAGCAGTCATCACTCGCAAGCTTCAATTTCGATCAAAAGGGATATTTAAATTAATTTAATTAAATTTTTTTTTAAACGTTGCCTCACTTTAGTATTTTCTCCTGTGTCGTGGGTGCGTTTACAAACATACAATTTCACATGCACATCACACCCAGATCCGGAACAACAATCTGTGGATCACACAAAGAGTTGTTCCGTGCGGGAGTCGAACCGCGCCAACCGTGCAGTCCAAGTATTAAACACCGGCCACCACAAGTAGATATATGTGTGATACTTATTGATATTTTGGTGTAGTCGTGTAGGTATAGAGCATGCCTATCGGTCCCATCCCTATTAAAATAGACTCTTATTTAGTAAAATGGCGGCCAAAAGCAGGAGAAGGAACGGGGAGGTTTTTAAGTCAGTTAGAGTCGAACACTCCCTCTTGCCTGGCCCTGGGCGAAATGAGTTAATTGACGATTTTTTATTCATAGAAGAAAATATCTAGCGTAATACGAGTGCTATAATTATGAGCACCCGTGCTTATCGTTTCAAGGAATGAAATTAGGAATGCTATGTTTCTTCTCAAATGAAAGATATCTTCCGAAACTTCCATGTCCGGTAAACACCTGCGTCAGGATGAATTGTATGTTTATCTAGCCACTCCTCAAAGAGGAGCCTTGCCGCTGCTATCATAGCGTGTTCGCTTGCAAGTGATTTTCTTATGCCGTCACATAATAAATGCAATATACATATAATAAATATTAAGCTTTCGATATGGTCATTAACATTCAATAACCAGATCATTTCTAAACAATAACATATTTTACGAGGACATTAAATGCACACAGCATAGCGCCATCAAAGTGTGATTGTGTGATAAGCCACAGAGCTTGGTACGTATAAAAGGTGGAGTGAGTTCACCTCAAACATCAGTTTTCTGAAACCTTACAGTTCCAGGAAAATCAATGTAAGTATATTTTAACTATAATTCATAAAAAGATCACGTTACAGCCACCATCACCTGTGCTAACTCTGTAATCGTAAAACAACACTTACTTTGTGTTCATCCTTCTCCACCCCATCCTCAATCTTCAATCCCCTATCCTCCAATCTCTAATAAATAATCCACAAGTCGCCGGCAACGCAGTTGTAGTAACTCCTTTTGTATTACCATCAGGTAATCCGATTGCTCGTTTGCCGATCTATGACAAAAAACCATCAACAATCATCAACTACGTAGATGTAGATTTTTTACGCTTTTTACAAGTTTATATAATTTAGGTTACGCAAACAAGCATACGGAATACCTAAAGGCCTTCAGTCTTTTGGGCCTTTGGTATTGCCGGCCGCATCGGTCTTGCGTTGCTTTATTCTCACTCACACAGCGAAACAGCTTTTTGCCAGACACAGAGTGAAGCTTTTTATAAAGATTTGTACGTAACATACACAGCCAGATGTGTGTGTTACGTGTGTGATGTGTTATGAGTTTTATGTAACTTTTAAAATAAAGTAACTGGAGCAAGGTTGACCATCTACAGCAAAATAAAATAGTATAGCATACTAGCTTAATCAGAGATGAAGAATGGGGAGTTTTGTGATTCTGGTAGACTTAAGGATTCGACGAAACACAAAGTAAGCTTTGTTTCACGCTGGTGTATCGTTCGCCGGTAGAGCCGGCCCATTAGTATGGCTGTCCCACATTTCCAAATAGATTATGTCTTCTGTCGTGTACTAGGATTTTATAATCCGATAGGATATACACGGTACGAGAAAGAAAATGCTTCAAAACTTTTTTAAATACCATGTGATGATTATGGCATGTAGGTACTATTTTGAACTGCCTTTCTTAGTCGTCTACTATCTATTTTTATCGTGTTTGCTTTTATTTACGGCAGCTATATGGCAACACTTGCGATAATTATCTAAAACTTAAATATTTTGCAGCATGGCCGACTCCAACCCCAAAACTGCGCCATCTTCAACAGCCAGGAGTGTTGTCGAGGTCCCTGAAAACTGTCCGAAGGGACAAAAAATGGGAATAGACGGCGTCTGTCGGGATGTCTCGTAGTACAACAACGATGGCTGAACACCTTGCATTCGCCAGGTTCAGGCACCGCTGTGACGTCTTCAACTTCTAAAATTTTGGTGTCTGAACTAATTTTTGTTTCTAAAATTGCAATAAATAAATGTTGTGTCACGTGAATCCAGTCTATCTTATTATCAAACTCTTTTACAAAAACAAAACTAAATTCCGATGGAGCAGTTATCTCAATGAAACATTATTTATTTACTTAATTTTTTTTCTACCATGTTTTTGCAGACCTACATTTATATGTGTGCTATTACAATGCTATTTGACGTAATGTGTATGTTATGACGTCAACTAAAAATGACATCATCAGATAATATTCTCAGAAGAAGCATTTGGCTCTAGGTGAAAACTACCCTACCTATTTCTGAGCGAAAACAATATTATATTAGTGTATTAGGTACCTACCTAATAAAGGGACCTGGCGTCCCTTGCAGGTGTTGATGGTAGCCACCGGGGACGTTTTAGTGAAGTAAAAATCGAACACTGTCTTTTTCCCAAAAGCTAGGCGCCCCTTTAAAAGTTTTTCCCCGTCAACAATAAAAAGATAACTAACCAATAAATCTAAAAAAGATATTTATGTAATACTAGCTACTCTTACTACTCTCTCATTTGATCATAATGTGATGTTTAATAACACTCAGGAACATTGTAGCTATCTATCAGTGAAAGAATTTTGGCAATCCGACCAGCGAGCGGTTCCAAAGATTCCCCTTACATACAAACTTACAAATTTTACCTCTTTATAATATTAGTATAGATGCATATTATTATCTATGTATTATGCAGCTAATAAAGTTGCGCAATAATTTACTAAATAATTAGGTACTTCGATTGTTAATACTGCCTTCCTGATCGAGTAGACACCTACGTACAGCTTGTTCATGGAATAATCTGGTTAACAGTCATTTTCAGTTGATATATTAGGCAATGGAACATTCGGAAATGCAAACAAGGTTTTTTTAGGAGTGGCAGGAAATAATATAATAGAGATATACTTATTGATAACATATTTCTAGGAGAATATACGTAGTTTGAAGTGAACTCTGAGTATTTACAGGTGAGTCATGGCGTGGGCCCCGCACGTGGCAGCGTCTACTGATAAAATGTTTACCCAACTAGTATAAAGCTGCTTGCCGGCCGACTGCCCGCTCAGTCCTGTCTTTCGTTGAGACGTGAGCGCGTGTGTGATTAACTTTCCCTCAGATTTCAAAACATCTGTTTATTACACCTTCCATTCATGTAAGTACTGAGTATAATGCCATATTATCTACTTACTTATTATTGTGCTTTTGTCAACATCATCGTCAGCGAATTTAGGATTTGAAAAATGTTCTTTAATCTTCTTATATATAAAAAAGGATCGCAAAATGTGTTGGTAAGCGCATAACTCAACAACGCCTGGACCAATTTTGCTAATTCTTTTTTTGTTGTGTTTGTTATTGTCAGGAGAAGGTTCTTATGAAAAAAATTTGAAAAGTAGAGGGTAGAGTTGGGTTATAGGGACCCTTTCAACATAAGCGAGATGATGAGACCCATGAGAAGCAGGGGTGGGCCGCTAGTTCAAACATAAGAATGTAAACATGTAATACTATATCATTACCATTTTTACTAATGAATTAATAAAGTAATAATGCATATCCTGCTGTGATATCTACGAATGCTGTTGATGCGTGTTTGCATTCAGCGCACTGATTATTTATATTGATAACATAACAATTATATTACCTATAGCATAAAAAAATTCGCGTTTGTCCTACAATACAGTGGTTTATTTAATTATAGTTGTAGCTTAGTTTAGGTCTAATAGTTTAGTGCAAATACCAGTGACTTCTGTTATTTTATTAGAATTGTATGAGGCCCAAGCAGTGAGTTCAGTGCTCTTGATGTGCTTCAAGGCTGGCCTAACCTTCGTGAACTTAGCGGTCGTGACGACAACCTTAATTTTTTCTTTTCTTTTGTTTGGTCTGCATTGTAGTAGTCATTTTTTTAGTTAAACGTGTCTTGTTACCTGTGTTAGGCTGGAGAATTTTGTATCAAGCTTAGGAAACATTACCATTTTGAATTCGAACAAGCAATTCTTGTAACTCGGAAACGGCTCAAACGATTTCTATGAAATTTCGTAAGTATCTAAAGCTAGGTTTAATGATAAGGGAAAAAGCAAACCTAGCTTTTTCGCTAAAAGTAGGTAGATACTGTATTATAATCGAAACCCACTCAAAGATAGGTTCGGATGATCATATCGATAGGTAAATTTCCATCATTGTCAACGTATGCTTATAAAATACTATCTGTTACAGAATGGCTGACTCTGACCGTATCGTGTACCCTGACGAGGTCGCCGAGGTGAAGGCAGACGCTATTGCTGCAGCAGAAGCTGAAGACAAGACCTCTGGCGGAGACAGCAACGCTGTCGAGACACCAGCTCCTGAAGGAATCTCAATGAGGAATGCTATCACAGTTCCCAACAACTGTCCACCTGGTTTTAAAATGGGAGCTGATGGCGTCTGTCGCGAAGTGTTTTAACAATTTCTAAGTACTTTTAAGTTTGCAGCTAATGTTAAGAGAGTTGAGAATAATGACAATGAAAGAAGAGACAAGAAATGTAATGTGTATTTTGCGGTTATAATATAAGATGTGTCTATCTGTTAGAACATATAAAAGACTCCATCATAGCTGATTCCAGAGACATTATTATGTACTCCAAAAATAATGAAATTTTGTTTGTACCAGTATTTGAATTCGAATTTAATTGGCGACGTATATTTTATTAGTATGTAAGTTTTATTGTATCCTCCGTTGTGCTGTTGATGAAAATAATAATGATAATGTGATATTTTTATATCGATTCTTTTTATTATTCGAACCTATAAAGCAAGATAATATTTTGTCGTGGTGGCCCGGAGGTTAAGGAGCCCGCTTCTCATGCATGAGGGCGTGGGTTCGAAACCTGGCAAGTACCAATGTGACTTTTTCCGAGTTATATGTACTTTCTATGATTATTTAGACACCACTGACACACGGTGAATGTAAACATCGTGAGGAAACCTAGGCTTATAATTCCTAATTATAAGTTTGAAATCGCCAATTCGCATTAAGCAAGTGTGGTGATTAATGCTCTAACCTTCTCCGTATGAGAAGAGTCTTTTGCTCAGCAGTGGACACTTATAGGCTGATGTTGATGATGAAATAATAATACTTATTAAGTTGACTTTTCTCGCTTAATTGTACCAGGATTATTAAAGGTATTTATGAAAGGATTGAGAACGGTAGCGCCATTTCCTCTCCTGATCCTCCAGGAGCGGCGGGTTTTGCTGGTGTTTTATTTTTGAAGTTGTGACTTGAAGGCACATAATGAGGGTCGATCTGATGTCATTGCACTGGAGGATAAGTAACAACCACAACATTCTGCAATGCTACCAGCATTCTGGAAACTTTCGTCACTTACATCGATGCAAATGAGGGCACAGTTTATTATGATATTAATATTGCATAATCAAATTTTAACAGGGTGTATCAGAACGTTGAAACATTCAATGTTAACTATACTTAAAGAAGTACGTACGTAGAAAAGTTATTTAAATTAAATGGCGTGAAACCATTCAATAATAGTGAGGTTTTTTGCAAACTTGTCTCCAAATATTTATATTATTTTGTAAGTATGCTAACCACTCTACATTTGCTAGATTAATAAGACCGTGGAAAACATATTTACTGGAAAATAATAACAACGATTTCGTTGTATATGGGTATTAATCATAAAAAACCAAAAAAGGGATGCATTAGTAAAAGTTTCTTTAAAAACATTCCTCTCGAAACTACAAAAGCATTGAAATCATCTCAAACACTTTTTGTCGAGCTTTTCGAAACACAGTATAAATCAGGTGATAGTACAAAACTGTAGGTCAGTCTTTAGCACTGCCAGTGCTCAATAAAGAGCTTGCTTTACCACTACTCTAGAAATGTAGACGATATACTACGGTTTTCACCTCATGGGAAAAAGCGCAGGCGACGCGATACGAGTATTTTGTGATCTTTAGAAGGTTTTTGACTGCGTTGAGTACGAGAAATTATTGCTGCAGCGAGAACATTACACTAGGGCATTTGGAGAGTGTCTTCAGAGATTTATTAAATTCTTCAGGAAAGGCAACTTAAAGAACAAGTGAAAGTCACCTTACTGGGTGCTAATTATATCTATGGGAGTACTGCAGGATTCGGTATAAGGTCCATTCATATTTTTGGTATAAGTAATCTGCACAATATATTTCAAAAAGTGCATGGTATTGTATACTGTAATATTCAATTACTAAAATAGTTGGACAAATAATAATAACGAAGTTAATATGCTCTTTACGGTTCAAAATTGGTTTACAAAGAACAACTTAGTACTTAACGATAAAAAGGTAAAATGGATTGCATTGGGTTTAATACTATCAGTGCTAAGTTTCATTTGACCTGTCACACCTAGATTCAGACACATTTAAAGAAAAATGTATTGTTTTGATTAGCTAGCACTAACCCTTTGTTGGATAGCAACTGTGTTTATGCCTACTTAGGCAACCAACGTAATAAAACAAGGAAACTATTTAACTCTTGATATGGTCGTTAACATTCAATAACCAGATCATTTCTAAGCAATAACATATTTTATGAGGACTTTACAGAAATGTACACAGCGTAGCGCCATCAAAGTGTGATTGTGTGATAAGCCACAGAGCTTGGTACGTATAAAAGGTGAAGAGAGTTCACCACAAACATGAGTTTACTGAAACCTACAGTTCCAGGAAAAGTAATGTGAGTATACCTTTCTCGTGTCGAGGTCGAACAATTTATTTGTTCCCTAGGTACTGCCAGGGCTCTAGGTACATGTAACAAAATATCACGACTGAGACCTGGCTGTTACACGTGTTCTGAAGAGGCAGAAAACCTCCTTGCCAGATTTACCACAATGGGAAATGGAGGCTACGGCACTTCAACGCTTCTTAAGTTTGGGCGCTGAAGCGCGTCGCCAGCTGTGAGGCGCGACAACGAATGTCCAAGCGGGGTTCCGGGTACAAACGCAATAATATATCGCCGCCCCAAGCAGGGAAAAAACGGGGTAGTTTTTAGTTAATTAAAGTTTGACATTCATTCTGACGAAGAATTCATTTAATGATATGACTGCGTGCTGAAAGATAGGAAACTAGGCTATAGGTCAGACGAACCTACTATGAGAAAATAATACGTAATTAAAATCTTTTAAACACCATGCGACTTTTTTAGGTGTATTTTAAACTGCCTTTATTAGTCGACTACCATCTAAAGCTCGTTTTTATCGTATTATACAACTTAATTTTGCAGCATGGCCGACTCCGACCCCAAAACTGCACCATCTTCAACAGCCAGGAGTGTTGTCGACGTCCCTGATAACTGTCCGAAGGGACAGAAAATGGGAGTAGATGGCGTCTGTCGGAATGTCTGGTAGCACAACAACGATGGCTGAATACGTTGCATTCGCCAGGTTCAGGCACTGCTGTGATGTCTCCAACTTCGAAAATCTTGCTGTCTGAACTAATTTTTGTTTCCATAAATTTGATTTTGTTTATTTTCAAATAAATGTTATGTCACATATACATCCAGTCTACATTATTATCTTCCTGGTTTATTAACCACTTGTGGAAAAGTTCGACGTGAAATATATACTAGTCAGTTGAACAAATATTGTGGTAATTACCCACCTACCAACCCAATGAACTTAAAAGTAATTTGTGCTGCACTGGTACTTTTATACTGAAAGTAGCTTTTGCCTGCCGCTTGCGCCCGCGTAATGGATAATAGCTATTCAGGGTTTATTCAGGGTATCGCTTATCTACGTACGAAATTCAACCAAATTAGTTTATCAGTTTTTGCGAGAAAAAATAAATGAAACGTATGATGAATTAAACGACGATTTGAAAGATATAAATAGTTTTATTTAGTAGCTTGAGAATTTACAACATGTTTGTATGGATGCGTATTGCAAAGAGAAAGATGACAAGCGCAAAAGGCACAGAGTATAGAACGGTGGTCATAGACCATTTCATATTATCTATGCTACACTATAGTAGTCGAAAAGGGCGACAAATTTAAAACATGTAACACTCCCTCTAAATTTTAGCCTTGTTCTACTAACTTTACATACATAGAGAAACATATTTTGTGCATACTGCCATCTTATCACAATATTATATTGGGTACATATTAATCAAATGATTACAGTATGTATTAAACCCAATACAAAACTTTAAACTAAATCAACAGAGCTTCAAGCATAACAACTGAATTGCAAACATAAATGAACTGAAATATAAAAAACAAACATTCTTAGGTTTTACATTCCTTTGGGTTCTCAATTAAACCTAACTTATTTCTAAAGTACTCAAATTTAACTTTAGACAAAGGTTTAGTAAAGATATCAGCTAACTGTTTATCAGTACTAATATACTTGAGATCAATTATCTTTTCAGTATACTTTTCTTTTACAAAATTATATTTCACCTCAATATGTTTACATCTTTTGTGATATTCAGAATTTTTAATCACACATATAGCACTCTGATTATCAATATTTAGTGTAATACAATCTTGATTATAATGACCTATATCTAACAATAACTGTCTAACCCAGAGAGCTTCTTTGGTGGCACAGCATGACGCCATAAACTCTGCTTCAGTGGTGGACAACGCGACAGTCGTTTGAAGGTGACTGTTCCATGTCACTGCTGCCCCGTTCTTCATAAAAACATATCCAGTGGTAGATCGTCTTGTCACAGGATCATTGGCATAATCAGCATCAGAATAGGATACCAGAGTGTTACTTTCATTTGACCTGTAACAGAGTCCAAAACACAGTGTCCCTTTTAAGTACTTCAAGATTCTCTTGACAGCATTCCAGTGACTTTGATCATGGCTGTTGAGATACCGGCTCACAGTGCTTACTGCATACATAATGTCTGGTCTGGTGACTATAGCAGCAAACATAAGCGATCCCACTGCCTCTCTGTAAGGAAAATATTTTTTATCCTCAAGCACTGTGCTTTTCTGTAAAGTAACATGCGGATCAGCTGGTATACTATTAGGGTTAGCATTATCTAAGTTAAATTTTGATAACATTTTCTCAATATATTTTCTTTGGTGTATGAAAATGTAATCCTTACATTGTTCTATCTGTATACCAATAAAATTCAAAGCTTCACAAATCTTAACATTAAATTCTTTCTGAAGATCATTCAGGACTTCAGTTATTATTGTTGGATTTGTAGAACATAACAATCCATCATCCACATAAAGCAAAAGATATACTAGAGCTTCTCTATTAAAACTCACATACACACATTTATCAGCGTGACAGTTCACAAAGCCATATTTAATTAAAACTGAATTAAATTTAGCATTCCAACAGCGTGGTGCCTGTTTCAATCCATATAAGGATTTGATAAGCTTGCAAGCCATGCCATTTTCAACATTCAATCCTTCAGGGATTTTCATGTATATTTTCTCTTGCAATTCACCATACAGGAAAGCAGTTTTAATATCAAATTGCTTTAAAGTCATGCATTTCTCGGCTGCAATAGACAATAATAAGCGAATGGAGTCATACCTGACCGTCGGAGAGAATGTTTCTGTGTAATCGATGCCATTTTTCTGTGCAAAGCCTTTGGCACACAGTCTGGCTTTGTACCTAGGACCTGTTGGTTCACTTTTCACACGAA